GGCATGACTAAGCAAATATTATGAAATTTAAGTAGATTTTTTTTTAGTTTAGAAGAGCTATCTTATAATGTTGATTAGAAAAAAAAACGATTTTTAGCGTTCAAACAATGTATACCTAGACATTTTAACACTAAGACCCGTTCACACTGAGCGAATAACTTTCTCGAATCGACACTGGAGTCGACAAAACTCGCTCAGTGTGAACGTACCCTTATTGCTTGAGCCATATAGCATTGCCATAAACGATCAGAAGAAATTATTACAAAAGAAGAACCATACATTTTTTTACCAACTATACGCTTCACGTTTGCTCAAAAGGCGGCAAGTGATTTTTTTTCAATTTTGAGATTTTTGGATTTTTAGACTAATGTGACCCTACTCTATCTAAATATCCAAAAATATTTTTGAAAATTTTTTTTTCTACGATTTTTGAAATTTGAAAAAAGCGGAAAGTGACATAACGTCACCATTTGGGAAGTAAAAAGGCGGCAAGTGTAAATATTTAAGTTAAAAAGCGGCATCTTTGTCGTCAAATGTCGTCATCATATATCATTTATCCAAAAAAAATCCTTATGGGTTTTTCGCCACTGCACTGCAAGAAAAATCTACAAAATAAAATAGTTATTTTTTGTAAACACTTCTGGCGTTAAACCTAAACGGACGCTGCTTGTCAGAAGTTGTGTTTACAGTTATACAAAATTTGCCTAACAAAGAAAAAAATGCTTAAAGTTTCGGAAAGTTTTCTCTTTCCGTCATCGGAAGCAAGAAAAAAATATATAAAGAATCAAGAAAAAAACTATTTAAAATATTTAAATTGAACTATTCGAGAACACTTTACTTTTTAAAACAGATACGTCTACAAGAAATCGTTGACGTTCTGTTAAAATGACATTATATTAAGTTAAACTTCAAAATTAACAATTACTATCTGATAATTACTTAATAAGCGAAAACCAAAAAGCCCAAGCTTTCTGTATGATTATTTTTAAATTTCACGTATGTTTGTTTTATTACTAACATCTACAGATGCATGAGCAATACATTTATTTTTATTAGATTGAATTAAAAAAGCCTCTTTTATTTTATATCTCGAAAACTGCGACTTTGACTGATTTTGATGTTATTACAAATTTTGTTGCAAATATTATTCCTAATCTTAATTTGAAAACCGCGTTTCGCTAGCTACTGTAATTTTAGAGTTACGATTTTTTTAAATGTTTAGCCCCCTCCCATACCCCCTCCCATACCCCCTCCCATACCCCCTTACCAACCCCCCACCACCACCAAAAACTAATAGCCAGATTCTCGGGTGCCACAGTATTTTTGTGCCAAATTTGGTTAAAATCGCTTCAGCGGTTTTTGAGTTATCGTGTTACAGACGGACAGACGGACGGACAGACAGACAGACACCACGAAAATATTTTGTATTTAGGTCATTTATGACCCAAATAACTCATTTTGAGTGAAATTAAAAAAACTTTTTTTTTGCCGATCTTAATAGCCTACCATACCTATTGGTATGGTCGGCTAAAAAAGAAGTTGTCTAAAATGTGCTACAATACGGATATAGTATAATCCTCTATCTTTAATTTCCTTCTTCATTTGTGTAAAAATACCTAGCCAGTTTTACATAAATCGTTAAATGCTAAACGCTTAATTAGTGCTAAAGAAGCCTTAAATGCATACTTTTAAAAGTATAGTAGCTATATCACGAAAAATAATATTTTAGGAGTATTTTATTAAATTGTTTTACCTGTTTATTGTAACTGTCTTCTATTGAAATAAAATGTCCTATACTAATAATCTTACAACTATATCCTTACTTTATAATATCCTTACAACTAGTGAAAAAAAAATTGTTCCTATTAATTGGTATAATATTGTTTGTTGAGTTTAACATATTATTGTAAGTGTGTTTTGTTTGTCTTAAATAGTATATCTGAAATTTATATTAAATAGTACATCTAAAATTATCAAAATTAGTATACCAGAACAAAGTATATTAAACTATAAATTACAACAAAATTTTAAGGCCTCCCTTTTTCGTGCCGTGAGTGTATATTAAAGTATTCTCAGCAAATTTCAATAATTTGAATTAATTTGTGTACTAAGTTAAATTATCAAATTCACCTACATAATTGTTGGTATTCAAATAATGTGTCTCGAATATTCAAAACGTTATCACAGTAAATTATATTAGAGTTATGTTTAAATAAAAATTCAGACTACAAAATAATTTTCAACGACAATTTTTATCAGTCATTTTAAAAACTTGTATTGCATTACGAACCACATTCTTGATCAATCACAGAAAATATTACATTCCAACGTATTTATTTTATTATAATATTTTATGTTCTTCTATTTACTATAACATATTTTGCGTGAAGTGAGGATTTAAAATATGAATTAAGGATAAAAATAAATAACGTATACAATATACGAATATGAAAGTACTTACAAATAATTACTTTAAAAAACAACATAGTAATCGACTATAACCAAAATTTGAATTCCGAATATTATGTTTTTTAAAGATGGAAACTGACGAGGAAATTGTTTTATAAAAAAAATACAAAATTTAAGAAAATATTTTTCATAATTCTTCGGTATATGATTCGCAACATCCCAATTAATATTCCGACAACAGTTTGATCATTGTTTGTTATTATATCATTACAGATGAATCGATATTCAACCATTTCCAATTATGGTGTAGCCTTACCAATTATGGTGTAGCCTCACACATTTAGATATTCTCTTTGTAGTTGGGCCCATTGTTGTCTGTTGTTGGCTATGCAGGCCCAAGTTATCTCTGCTAATTTCCTAATATATCATGGTCCCATCTCAGGTTTGGTCTTCCTAGAGGTCTCTTCATTCCTCTTGGGTAGCATGCTGTAATTTTTGTGGTCCATCTGTTGTCCGTTCTTCTTGCTATGTGTACTGTCCATTGCCATTTGAGAGATTTGACTCTGTGGATGACATCTATTACCTGGGTCTTTTGTCGTATCCACTCTATTCTTTTACGGTTATTCCCAGCATATTTCGTTCCATTGAGCGTTGTGCGACCTGCAGTTTCCTTATGATGTCTGTTTTAAATGTCCAGGTTTCGCATGCATGGGTCATGAGTAGTAGTACACATTGGTCGAATGTTTTCTTCTTTAGATAGAGTGGCATTCTAGATTTAAAGATGATTGAGTTTCTTCCACCAGTACTCCATGCTAAGTTAATTATTCTTCTTTTGATTTCTGATAGTAGTGACCGCGAGGTGTGTATTAGTTGTCTCAAATATATGTATTCTTCTATTATTCTCCATATTTGGTGGTATAAAAAGAGTTATTTATACAGTGATGCTCAAGTATATTTTATTTTTATAGATTGCAAAACACGTAATATATATTTCAAAGAGTGAGAAGTATTGTGCAGTTCAGGCATCCAAGGTAAGTTTGGCTTCCTTTATTTATGTTGATTGAATATTAAATTGATGTTAACACCATTCATATATTATGCTATATAAAAAAAAAATATTTTATTTTTCTTTTTCGCTCTTACAATATATATATATATATATATATATATATATATATATATATATATATATATATATCGATAGTCATATCCAAGCCAACTAGACGCCGTTTATTTTTTGATCACATGTAGTATATTTGTGATAATTGATGTCCAGTACAAATCACTGACATATTAGACATTATAAAATAGAAATTCAACGAAAAATAGTGGAAAAATAGAATATTTAGATCTTAAAGGATAAATGATAACTGTCATATCGATTCTCTCCATCATTTCAGATTATGCGATCAAGCAGTCATACCATAAGACGAAGAAGTAAAGGTTTGCGTTTTTTTTGCCACCAAAATAATACACAATTATATTAGAATATCTCTTTTATCTAATATAGGTATCTTGATTATTAATTGATTTAGTTTTTGCAGTGTTATTCCCAGAATATTTCTGGAAATATTTCCACTACATTATCTTAGGAAAAACGACATACATTTGTATGATTTGATATTAATTTATTTTATATATTTAAAAAATTGCAGTAAAAATTATATACCAGGTATAAATAATAAGGTAGTAAGGTATAAATATAATATAAAAATCTAACAATATGTATCATAATTTCAACTAACATGATGAATGATGTTATTTTCAAGTACATGTATGCAATTTAAGTTTGATTTATGCAGTTTAATTTGTATAAATCTCATTGATCATCTATGAAAAAAAATGAGGTAGTATCAGCTAAAACTGGTTTCTGATTAAATTTTTGGATAGCTTGTTGAAAGATCGTCAAAATGTATGTATACTTGAATTATAAAGAAAAATTGGAATATTAAAACAAGAGCGACGTATCGATAAAAATGATCCAGACAGTTTTGATTACCTAGGTAAATTAAGGATGATAATAATTATTGATTATTTATATTTGTACTTGGTCTGTTTAATTGAATATATTACTGAAATGCTGAACAATACAAAAATGGAATATCATTGTTTAAGTTGCTTGTTTTTTTATGTCGTCGGAGTTTACAATTTTGTAATAATATATCATTACAAAATTGTTATTGTGTCTGGGATATAAAATTATAGGGTTATATTTACTTATTTTTTGCTCTGCCAATAGTAAATTTTACAGACATTTTTTTATTTCTATTTTTTTATGATGCATTAAACAATACATATATCCCTAAATTTTCACTCCTCGACCATCAACCCCTATTTTTTAATAGAGAGATTAGTAATTTAATAATTTTCAATCCCGTGAATAAAAATTACTGTTGTCCTATAAAAAAATATTAATATGACAAAACAATGTTTGCCGAGTCAGCTGGTAATATATAACTATTTAACTACTTGTGTAACTACTTTAGAGGAAAGTTTTACCTTGCGTTTTATTAACGTATTATTTTTCACTAATCTACCATAACGTAAATATTTTATGTCCATTTAATAACTAATTTTAATATTTTTTTTAGGTTCGAATCAGATAGAAATAGAGTCGGTGGAAATACCTGGTTGTACCGTGACGCCTTGCAGATTTTATCGAAATAGAAACTATGACATCTATATAACTCCAAATTCTGTCAGTAAGTATAAGTTATGCATATAATCAGAATAAAGAAGTTAGCAACATATTTAACACAATTCAAAATTTGTGGTAAAAATCCTCTAATTATTTCTTATTTTTGAATAGATATTTATATCAAACCATGATATTATTATATACAAAAGTATCTTTTACAGTTTTCTCTTAAAATAATAAGAGAACATAATTAAATTAAAAATGTGCGTGGACTATACTTTTATTGACATCGGGTCAATCAATAATTTTTCCAATCAACTCGATATATTGATGATGTTGCCAGTATTACTCATGAAGCAATACTACTGTTATATTAATTAATTAAGGCCGCGTAAACAAACCTAACATAATACTGTTGTATATAATAATTCATTATAATAAAATTAAATAATAAAAATCTTGCAATTATATTCCTGCAGATTGAGTGAAAAGTTTTTTTCTTAAATATCTACTCTACATATTTTAAACGCGTGTTCAAATATTAATTTTGTGGAATATATACACATCGGAAAAATCTAGGGATATCATTTTATTAAAGTTAAAAATAAATGTTTTGAATAACAACCCCATATTTGTAGGCCGATTCTCTCTACTTCGATTGAAACGAAGTAGTCACACTAGTTATTTCTAAATTTGGATATTTGCAGAAGTGTTTGTCCATTTTTTGTCAAATGTATAAAAAGCACCTAGCATCAATTGTTCGAATTTAACCTCTACTGGCTATGTTTTTATGATAACTGGCCAGAATTCATTTATATAACTTTGTTTAGTATTAAACAACATTATGGAGCGTAGACATCTTAACAGAGACGAAATGCTAAGGGCCATGGGTATGCTCGAAGCTGGAATGCGCCAAATCGACGTAGCTATAGCATTAAATACAACGCAAAGTGTAGTATCGCGTTAAGTGCACGCTACCGTGAAAGTGGTGATGTTGCTGAAAGGCACACAGGGCGACATCGCATTACTATCCCTCAGCAAGATCATTTTTTACAATTAAATGCTCGACGCCGACCGACTCTTACAGCACCAGAGCTTAGTTTAATTCTCCAGGAAACACATAATGTAACCGTTAGTCCTGACACTGTTCGCAATAGATTAAGAGAAGTCAACTTAAGAAGCAGACGCCCCTGGAGAGCTCAACCCTTAACGAGAGGAAATCAAGAGGTATCATATTTGTAGGCTCAAGATCATGTTCAGTGGTCGAATGTACAATGGGCCAATGTTCTCTTCACGGATGAGTCAAGCTTTGGAATTCATCTGGATTCGAGAGGGCTTAGGGTATGGAGAGAACCAGGAAATCTTATTCGGTTGGATCATGTTCAGGAAGTGCACCCTTATCAAGATGGAACAGTTATGGTCTGGGGACGAGTCCAGTTAGTTTTTCTTGAAAGGTTTCTAACAGGAATTACATATCGCGATTTAATTCTTGAGCTTGGTGTTACCATATGCCAATGATTTTGGGAGAAACTTCATTCTCATGCATGACAATGCACGGCCTCATACAGCCAGAATGGTGTGAGTTTATCAATGCTCATCAATTAAACATCTTACCCTGGCCGGCACAATCTCCTGACCTCAACCCCATCGAGCACGTATGGGACGCGGTCCAAAGAAGAATTTTGAGAATGGGCATGCCTCGTAAAACTCGTAGGGATCTGGTTCGGGCCGTGAATGCAGCGTGGCAGGCTGTACCTCAAGAAGAGATCGACAACCTGATCAGGAGCATGCGGAGAGACGATGTAGGGCTGTAATGAACAGTAGAGGAGGCCATACCCTTTATTAAGTAAAAATGGTTTTATATGTGTATTTTTGAGTTCAATAAAAATCAAGGCAAATTTAAAAAATTCGGCAAATTTCGCATTTTTATTTTCAATACGTCCTGTAAACAATTTTTTTATTTTAATTTTATTATATCAAAAATGCAAAAAATAAAATTACTGACGATGGCTGGATAAAATTGTAATATCCCTAGACTTTTCCGGTGTGTTTATATCAACATAAAACAAGATATAATTAACGAAATATCATCGTAACAACAGCTATTTTAGAAACGTTTAGGTTTACTTATTTCACTGTGATTTATAAAAAAATAGTTCTATGCCTCGGGTACAGATACCGCCATGTTTTGGAAATAGTTCAAAACGAATCAAAATTAAATGAGGCAACAGGAAACGCCAAAAAAATCCCCTCACGCCCTCCTCACGAGTAGTTTTCAGGCGCTTTTAAGAATCGAAAGTAGGTCGAGGCAAATCAAAGTGGGTCAAGACAACTGGAAATAAACTGAAATGCGACAAAGTTGAGAGATAAAATACGACTTTGACCTGCTTCGAAAAGTTCTCCACATAATGTAGAGGTTGTTTAGAGCTTTTTAATTGTAAAAAATTACTGACAAGCTGATTCCTTTTCCAGTGGTGTTCAAACCAATACTTTTTTTTAAGATATAAACCCGCCACCAAAATACCTATAGACATTAATATCATTAACTTGTATAACTATTATCATACTAATTTGTTTAAACTGCGTTGTATTAAATACATAAGTGTCTGATCTAAAATTACTTAATTAAAAATGTTAAATAAACAGATAGAAAATGTAAATTTTTATCAAACATCCACTGAAAAGGAAATAAAAAATTAAATATAGCTCTACGATGAGTCGCGGAAAGTATTTTAAAGTATGTATATCTACCAAAGATGACAGATAATAAATAGCATGATTTTTTAATTATAGTATATATTTAGGATTTGTAATTAAATTAACGAATGTCTGAGAATGTTTGTAGTTTAAAAATGGGATATTTTTCAAAATTATAACCGGATAGGCGCCAAATATTTTTACTTTCAGACCGGTTATCGTGATATCGGGATAATTTATTTAATTTGCACTTCTAAGTACATAATTTTTATGTCAAACAAATTATTTATCTAAAAGCGACATTAGTATTTAAATAATCATCTTCAATTATTAGGATGCAGAATTAATAAGGTTCATACCAAATAAACTTTTAATCACGTGATTAAGCTTGATCAAAATATTTTAGGAAACAAAAATAAATTAATTATAAATATATGAACAGTTGTTATTTACATCAACAAAAGTCACCTTCTTAACAGCACTTAAGGGACATAAAGGGCCATTACTACCGCTTTCAAAATATTCTAATAAAGTTGCGATGAGTTTTTTACGGCTATTAAGCTATTTTGTACACTTCGCACTAAAAGAGGTTCTAAAAAGAACAATGTTCGACTGCAAGGTTGCTTGCTACTTAGACAAGGAAAGAGAGGGGACGGGTAACACGCATATTCTCCCGTGATCGGAGAGTGAGGCCAAAATTCGAACGGCGGCCATACTTAGGTGACAAGATTTCGAGGTGACACCGAGCGAATTTTTATGTTTTTTGTGACAACTGTTTTGTTTTAAATTTATAAACTGTGTTGTTTAGTATGGTGAGATGTTCAGAGTATGGCTGCAAAGGCCGAAGAGAGAAAAAAGTGGCTGGAATTACATTTCACAGGTAAAAATCGATACACAACTTTTGTTCGGTGGTCATAAAATGTACATTTTTTTCATTATAGTAGTAAAAATATGTAAAATGCTTTTAATATGTCTTGTACCACATCCAAACCAAACTATTTTTAATAATTCCAAGTAGTATTTTCAATATCCTGTATTATAATTAATGTTTGAAACTATAAATATTGCTACTCGTACCGGATTTCACCAGTGGCGTAGGGAATTATAATCAGAGAAATACAATTTCTGCAATAAACATTTTTTTATATATTTTACATGTAAAAAAATGTATAAAGTATTGTTATCAAATATGTAAAATAATTGTAAACTATAAAAAAATGAAAAATTCTACTGATAAAAAATCTATATGTATAGTTATATAAAACTTAAATTTACCTGCCAAGATTTGTTGGGGGTGGACAAACTTGTGGTGGGCTACTTGTTACTAAATATATTTTTTTAAATATTCTTTCAAAAAATTTGCTAATTTAAGTGTATAATAATAGTTTCAGTGAGTAATTAATAAACATTTAAAAATAAATAAAATAACACAAAGCTTCTAGAATTGTTTTATTTTTGTGTGAATAAATTCGGATATTCTTAAAAATAGGATATTCTTATGATTGAAGATAAAAAATATTAAAAATTACATTATTCATTGAATCCGTACGCAAGTGTGAAGGGTAATGGCTAGATTCATTATTATACCGTATGGTCGAAAAAAAAAAGACGTCCAGTTGGCTTGTAAATGACGATCGACGACATTCCCCATATAATTTTACATATAAAATGACAGCGATCTTCATTTCATAGCCATCGCTGACGCCGTCTTTTTTCGACGTCGTTCTGTGTAGTTTTTATGTCATTATATTTAAAATTATATGGGGAATGTTATCGATCGTAATTTACAAGCCAACTGGACGTCGTTTTTTTTCGATTATACGGTATAATAATGAATCTAGCCAATTCTCTTCACACTTGCTTACGGATTCAATATTTAATGAATAATATAATTTTTAATAATCATTTGTGAAATTGTCATTTCCAAACAAACAAGACGCCGTTTTTTTCGATCATACAGTATATATGTATATACACGTTTAAAATATATGTTATTACATTATTTTTTATTTAATTATACATTATACACACGTTAATAAATAAATAATTGTCTTGATAATCAGAGTCCACTGTGACTGTTAAGTAAATTTTGCATTATCGACTTAGATATTCTAATATTATAAAGGTGAGACTATAAAATACAAAATTGTATATGAATTACTCAAAAATGAACGATATATTAGTTTACGTTTTAATAAATATTTTGTACCGTCTAGGTACAAGCTAATTTCTGATGCTACCCCATTGGAGATTTTCGAGTGGTGACAACTTGCCTCACTTTCAGCTGCCGTGTTACCTGTCCCCTCTCTTTCCTTGTCTAAGGTTTAAGTAAAAAATTTAAAGCATTAAATTTTAAAATATCACAACACAGTTGATTTAAACCAAAAACTCGTAATGCAAAACTAAAGTGTCAAAACGAAGGACAGTGTCAGGAAATAAGTAAATAAATGTTGCAACTTGACATTTTTACAGCAGGGCTACCACATGAATCCCCAGCCGGAAATTTAAATTCTAGTTAGTCAGCCCGGCGCCAAATATGGCCATCAATGGTTGGCAACAATGTATTTCAAATCACGCCACCAATTACGTATTATGAATATAGTATATTATCCAATGAGAACATTTTTGACAGTAATGGGTGTGTCTCTGTCATTTTAGTTCCAAAAAATAATATATAAAACCGTCCATACCTGACAATAGCAGATCTTTTTCAGTAAAAGGGACGAATTGGTATGGCCGCCACAACAACTTTTCTGTCCACGTCTATCTAAAATTTTTCCGAAGTTGTATAAACTATATCTAGAATTGGTATATACCTTTATTTTTTAACGTCGATTCGTTTTTTTTTGCAGATCCCACAGTTATGTCCATTGACTTGAAAGTGGAAGCCTGCATACGGGGTGCAAATTTTGCCGTGGATGCAACTTTTGTTCATCCCTGTATCACGGACTGTCCCTTGCAGACCAAACTTGATCGACCGGAAATTCCAATCAACGTCAGCATCAGTAGATTCTTTATACCGGTAAGGTATTTACTACTATTTATTTAATTATAAACAAAATAACCTATATGCAGCCTTCATTGTCGCCAATAAATGATTTAATACATTTACTTTTCTGATAATCATATTAAATTTGAGTAGGCATGGAAGCACTTGAGACTTACAACAGTTTTTCATTGATTTTGCTGTCTTTTTTACTGTTTTAGTTCTTTGTTTTAGTGTTTTTTTCTGCCTGATTTACTCTTTTTGATATCTGTTTTACTGGTTTTACTGTTTGTTTTAGTGTTTTTATGCTCTGATCTTTTATACCTACATAAATAATAAGCCAAATAGATATAACAAGTAGGAAAAACACTAAATGAAACAGTTAAAACAGCAAAACAGACATCAAAAAAACTAAGCAGGCAGTACAAACCGTATAACAGACAACAAAAACATTAAAAACACACAGAAAAATCAATAAAATACTGTTTTTTTTCTTTTGTGTTAAAGGTCATCATCAAACGAGATGCACCTGTACAGGGTGGTCCAAACTGTATTCCGGAAACTTTGGCAGTATATTCTGCAGATAAAAATAAGTAAAAACGTTCGTATAGATGTATGTCTTGAAATGCTTAATTTCCGTAGATACAGGGTGTAGAACTTTCATTTTTATTTCAATTTTTTCCAAATAATTTCTGAAGTTATGTCAATATTTGGATGAAAATTGGTGTTTGGGAGTTTTTTGGCATGAGAAATTTCATTTTGATGTCGATATCACTCATACTTGTAGAGGGCGCCACCTACATGTCTTTTGACTAGTTTGAAGAGTAATAACTTTTTGTCCGTACCTGCATAAAACCACTGAGTAAAAAAATATAGATTTACGACATTTTTTACATAATCTCGGTAAAAATCGCTACGAGTAAAATATCAATCTGTCATCATTGACATAAATTAAACATGTTGACTAAATAGTTATTGATTGAAATCAAAAAATGTTTTTGTACCAAAAATTTAACAGAACCTGTTTTCTCATCATATTTTCGAAGAAAAATGTATGATTAATTTAAAAAAATAAAGAAAAAGTCGAAGTCGTTGTTGAAAAAGAAGAAGTCGTTCGGCGAGAGCCTGTGGTCCTTTTCTACTGTAAAAAAAATCAACCCCAAACGTTGTTTTCATCCTGTTCATTATTTTTGTCTTCACACTTCCAGGTGCTTAATATCGTGCTTTTAATTTCAAACCTCTGGTTTATTCTGTAAACTTTTGACTTATTCTGTGGTCAATTTCTTTCAAATAACTATTTACTCAATATGTTCATTTTTTGTCAATAATGATATGTATTGTTTATTTCGATTCTAAATATCTTGAGAATGTAGCGATTTTTACCAAGAGACATTTTTTACGTAAAAATCACGGAAATAAATATTTTTTCACTCAGTAGTTTTATACAGCCTATACAGGTACGGACGAAAAGTTATTGCTCTTCAAAACAGTTAAAACGCATGTAAGTGGCGCCCTCTACAACTAGGAGTCATATTGACATCAAAATCAAATTTCACATGTCAAAAAACTTTTAGACACCAATTTTTATCCAAATATTGAAATTACTTCAGAAATTATTTGGGAAAAATCGAAATAAAAATGAAACTTCTACACCCTGTATCTCCCAAAACTAAGTATTTTAGGACATAAATTTATACGAACTTTTTTACTTATTTTATCTGCAGAATATGCTGCAGTTCGATATAATACAGTTCGAACCACCCTGTATATGGAATATATGGATATAATTCTAGATTCCTAATGAAATATTGCCTAATAATGTTAGTAATAATGCCAATATATTTTAGTTTTGAATTAATAATTATTGTTGATTATTCCATTTTTTTTCTCTTTTTTAGGGTTTGACTACATTTAGAATCAACGCCACCTTTATAGGAAACGACCAACCAAACTTTTGCGTGCTATTCTACGTGGACATTTACTAGTTATGGTTTCCACAACTATATACTTGCTTGTACTACTACGCCAAATATTTATATGATACTCTATTTATCAATATTAAAGGGACGCCTATGTATAGCTTATAATAAATGCATATATATTTATTTATTTATTTTTTATAATTGTTTTTTTATTTCGTTTGTTAAACATATAGCCATTATTTGAATTTAAATTAAAAATAAGGAAGATATCTTGTGTTTCTTATTCATATTCAGGTTTATCTCAGTTGAAGCTCCTATAAAATAACAGCTGAAACATTAATATGTGTTATAATAGTCCATGGGGTTTAAAACCTAATGACACATATTTCTTAGTTGTTCTTCAATAGATTATACAAATATACAATAATCATCAGTACGAAAAACGGGTACCTTAAAATTTTGATATATTTTAAAGTTTAATTTATTTTGTTCTAGTCGGCCGATTTTGATGATTTTTTAAGCAATTTGTAGCTAATTTATTTGACATTTTAGTATCTCTTTATAAATTAAAAATGGAAGTTCCCGTCTGTCAATTATAAGAGGAAAACACAATGTTGATAGTTTGTGAAAGTTTGAAACACCCTGTGGAGTACCTTAATGAAGCAAATCATTTTATCATATATCTAGGTGTATCTGTTACCGATAGTTTTTTTTATTCATCTCAATAGCACCGTTTTATTGGAGATTGGGGTTTTTGGCGGAGATACTAACTTTTATTTACAACCACATATGTAATACTGACATTAATGACTTTAAAAAAACTGAAAGTGTCAAATTATCTACCGGGTGGCCAACTAAGAATGGACGCCGGCTGTATCTCAGAAACTACTTATCGTATAACTTTGGGGAAAAAATTATAAGAAGTAAATCGACCAAAAGAAATCGCTGGAAATTATTTTTAAGTTCGAAAAATGTCCGCTAGGGGGCGTTTCTCTGATAGCCAATCAGAAAACAGTTTCTTTCTCAAAAATATGCAGGTGAACAGGTATTTTAAATATGACTATTGTAATCATTAAGAAATTTGCAATTTTTTTGATATAGCCATCTAGCGGACATTTTTTAAACGTAAAAATAATTTCCAGCGATTTCTTTTGGTCGATTTACTTATTATAATTTTTTTCCCAAAGTTATACGATAAGTAGTTTCTGAGATACAGCCGGCGTCCACATTCTTAGTTGGCCACCTGGCACATTTCTTCCCACTTTATCCAATTATCTACACTCTCTTTCATTTACACCACCCATTTCTCTCATCCATTTTCCTCACCCATTTCCCTCACTCGGTTTTTCTTATCTCTCGCCTCATTTAATTAAGCAAAATATTCTTGTAATATCTTTATTAAATACTTATCTATTGAAGATTTTAAGTACATTTATTTATTGAAATTAATGGTCAAATTTGACTTATTGTACGCGTTAATCAGTATTGTTAAGGGGCAGCCCTGATGATGTGTTTCACGCGTATAACTTATTTTTTAGGTTTCACTGCTGCAAAAACTTAACCCCTGACTTGTACCAGGTCTTCTAATGTCACCAAAGAAGGTAAAAAGAAGGTAAAGAGTAAGTAAGTTTGTAGTGTGTAGGTTTTCGCATTGGGAAGTTTCAAAAAGCTAGCAATTTTCTACGGAAATTTAAATATAGAATTGTATCCAAAAGGTTGATTTCGATATTAAACAAAAAATCTCTCATTTTCAATATTTTTTCCTAACTGTATAAATTCTTTCACAATTTCTATCCAACTTGTGTTAGTTATCATAAATGATCTGCTCTTATAAGTTTTTGTATCGGGAATTTCTATGCAAATTTTGTTTTTCTAAAATATCAATATGCGTAGTTTTCATCTTCAGTAGCTCATCACTTCGACATGCCCCAGACACAACTACTATAAGCGCAACCTAAAACAATGAAAGGAAATATTTAAAAACAGAAAAAGATAACATTTAAAAAAAGTCTTACTTTAATAGAAAGGAATTCTTGAGGTGCTTTCGTGAGAAAAACCTCCAAGTTTTGCCTGGTAAAAATGCTAGACTTCTTTGGCTTAAAACTTACATTCTGGCGTTTTAAAAAGCAACGAGTTTGTGATATTTTGATATGTCAGCCTTTCCCCTGAATTCTAGCATTGTCCGTATCATGCTGTACATAGTCCAAAGAGTAGATGGCTTGCTTTGTCGCTAAAATATTCCATCAAGACTGTCTCCGAAGCAATATTCTTAGCATTTCTTTCGGCACACCATTTTTCGTATACTTTCAATGCTATTTCATATCGCCCCCTACCTGGGACTAAACTGGCTTCTGCTCTCTTTGCAGCTTCTGTAAGTTCTGGTGGAGTACCAATATTAAAGTAGTCTTCATTATCAGGACTTTCCGACAACATTCCCAACAAGCAAAATTTATTGCTGGAACATTGCCAAAACTTCGCAAAGCAAGGTGTAACATTGCTTTTTTCATTGTAGGGAGGTTTATGCAAGGTGGCAGGTTAGCTTAATCTTCCGCCAAATAACATTGCAGTGCAAGGTTGAAAAAAATGTTGATGCAAGTTTATTGAAACCTTGTCACAACCTCGTGAGAAGAGTTCACAATATTACTGAAACGTTGCTAATGTAACGTTCAAGAAAGTACTAATTTGAGATTTATTAGCAATATTGTTAATTTGACGTCAATACAATATCCGTAAAATTATATTGTACCTATGTTTCAAAACTTATTGTCCATTAAACTTTCTATTTTGTTATAACTTATTAACTGACTTATTGCCAAAATAATATAGCTAAAAATAGATAATGTTCGCAACAGAAAACCATTTCATTCATCGGAGAGTATACATAGAAATGATTTTTTAATATTTACTTATCAATTAATGAAAAAGTTTTTTCTTGCGAACATTAGCAATTTTATGTTAACAATAATACATCAGTAATAGGTTATAATCAACAGAAACATTAATGGGTATTAAATTGTAGACTTTCAGATAGGTATAATATACTTTTGCTAATATTGTATTGACGAAAAACAAACAATATTGATAAAAATATGCATATCTCTATATCCATTGACTTAGAAAAATTAAAAATGCTCTGTATTAATATATCCATACCAAGAAAGTCGAATTTGTCAAACAAATTGAAAAAAACAAATAAAAATTAGAAATTTATCACTTACTTGTTTCAAAAATATCAAAAATACTGTCAAGTACTGAGAACTTACTGATCTTTTCGGCTGCTCATTAAATAAGGAATTACACAACTCCGACCTCTGAGTCGAATTTCTAAAAAAATCTTAAAGTTGAATGTCTGAAATAATACAAAATATATAGGTACAGTATAAACATTATTATATATTTCTTATTCAAATACAAAAGGAAAGTATAACATTAAATATATGTACAAGGAAAGGCAAACTTATATTTTAATTGATTTTTTGGATCTTTCATATTATGTCTTCGCATGTTGAATTGTCTTATTCATGGTTTCAAATTCCTCTTCGGTAAAGTTTTGAAATCTATATCCATTTATTTCTAAAGTAGTAAAAATAAAAACAATCAGTTGTAAATATATATATATATATATATATATATATATATATATATATATATATATATATATATATATATATATATATATATATATATATATATATATATATATATATATATATATATATATATATATATATATATATATATATATATATATATATATATATATATATATATATATATATATATATATATATATAAAACAATGAGTAACTTACCTCTTGTGACAGTAATCTTTGAGGCCCCTTTATGTCCTTATTTTAAAAATCTCAAATGATTAAAACATCATTAAAAGAATATTATAGAGAATAATTAATACTGAATATTATTTGTGATTTTATCATTAGACTGATATACTCGTATCCTGGTTTCATCTACTTCAATTTTCAGTTCGCTAAAAGCTAACCTAAAACAAAATTTAGCTTATAAACAAACTAAACAAAATTTGTTATACTTATTCATGGCTAAGCATTATTAAAACACACATGATAATAAAATTATACTTACATTTACATTCATTAAAATCTCATTCGAAAAGCATAAAACATGATACCAAAAATGTAAAAAAACAAGTGCGTTCAAAACAATAACTTCTAACTTATACCGTATGATAAAAAAAATGCGTCAGCGATGGCTATGAAAAGAAAATCGCTGTCATTTTATATGTTATATGTAAAATTATATGGGGAATGTCATCGATATTCATTTCCAAGCCAACGAGACGCAGTTTTTTTTGATCTTATGGTATATTTGTTATATTATATATTATATATATTACAAAGTCAAATGTTATAGCACTTAGCAAAACATAGACGCCCAAAATCTCATTCAAATCGGAATGACGATTCTTAAAATATCTGAAAAAAAGTGTTTATTTTTGTAAAGTTTCATACCCTCCAGTGGACAAACGAAGCACTTTTGTATAGAGGTAAATTCACAGTAAATTGTGTCCAACGAACTTATTTTGATTCGAATAATACGTAGTAGTTTTATGTCCAGGGAATTTTGGGACACCCTGTATATTAATTTGCTTTATTTTGCTATTTGAAAACTAAAATCACATACATACTACTTGTAAAAATGTCCTTCACAACACTTATGTATTTACTATACATATAGGACGTTTTGAAGTAACGTAATCTTTTTCGCCTTCACCATTTTGTCAAGGATACTAAAACATTGTGTCTATATTAATATTTAAATAATTATTGAATGAGAGCTATGATAAGTTTACTTTTTAACATTTAAGATGTTTCTTCATTCTGCATATATATTTGTCGAATATTCTTTAAATGATGTTAATAAAATCAATAAAATATTATTTTTTGAACTTTCCCATAGATACACACACCTCAAAAATCTAGGGATATCATTTTATTAAAGTTAAAAATAAATGTTTTGAATAAACAACCACATATTTGTAGGCCGATTCTTTCTACTTCGATTGCAACGAAGTAGTCACACTAGTTATTTCTAAATTTGGGATATTTGCAGAAGTGTTTGTGTATTTTTTGTCAAATGTATAAAAAGCACCTAGCATCAATTGTTCGAATTTAACCTGTATTGGCTATGATTTTATGATAACTGGCCAGAATTC